ATTTCTACTTTCCCTTAGCCTAAATCAGATTTCCTAAGCTTGCTGTTTGGGGCCAGACAGCTGTGGTGTCTATCCTGCTCACAGCAGGATATTGAGCAGCCCTCTTGGCCTCTACCTACCAGATGCCAGGAACACCTCCAGTATGACAACCAAAACCTCTCCAGACTTTGCCAAAGGTCTCCTGAGTGCAAAGCCACATCTAGTTGAGAGCCACTGGCCCACAAAGAATCAGGGACACACCAACATTTTTGCATAACATCTAGTTTAGAAATGTTCTTGCTTTCAGGATACAGGATGCAGAATTCTCTTTCCTTCTTCTGTTAGGCAAATATCTAAAACTAGAAGCTCAGAGAAGATGGTTCCAGGGAACTATCTGGCTAAATCCAAGTGTGGCAAAAGGAAGATTTAGGACAATTTCTGAACTAATTCAGAAATAAAACAAATAAAACTTCCTGTCTAGTTGAATATTTGTATTTGGGCAAATGTAGTATTCAAGACTACATTTTACAGGGAAAAGTTCTTCATTTTCAACTTTCCATGGCCAAAGACTAGCTGACTGCACATGTGGAGTGCTGATGGGAGTTGAGAGATGTGAACTTTGGGGTCAAGCTGCTCAAGCTTTGTCAATGGGTTGGAATCCTTCTGGGTTTCATAAGATTTGTAATCAGAGAACAATCCTGGTGTTCTTGAATTAGTTCTTTCAACTCAGTGGCCATATCAGTAGAAAAGACTTCTAAAAATTAGAGTTCATAGAACTAAGAAAAACAAAAAGTGTGTGACAGAATTGAGAACCTACCTGAGACAGTTTAGATGAAATGAGCAAGTCCTTGGCTTTCTCTGTCTGTAGCACAGAACATCAGGAAATGTTTGTTGTTGATCATGTAGATGGTTGTGATGGGGGAGAGCAGGTGGAATTAGGTTATAATTTGCTTAGGAGTTTTTTTTTTAAACAGTTGTAGATATTATTCCTAATTAGCTGACTGAAGACCAGGTTTAGGGAGACTAGAATCCCTAAGAGGGTCTTCTAATCTTGAACCAAGGGTTCTAAATCCTCTAGATTTATAGTGGAAATAACAAGTGCAATTAATTTTTTCTACTTCCACGTTTTCATTGAGGGATGTACATAATTGGTTAGGGAGGAATTCATCTCCCTGTGATGAGGCCTGGGATACCATGGTGAGTGAAGGAATGATAAAATATGCCAGAGAGAAGGAAGATATGGAAGTTGGGAAGCATCTGGAAGAAAAAAGAAGCCCAAAGGGAATGACAGGATTGATAAATTGGAAGCTTAATGCTGTGAATGTTAGAAGAAAAGCTTCGTAAAGAAAGAGATTAGAATCTCAGAGAATAAATTGCCAAATGGAGTTCAGGGTGAATCCCAGGGGATCAATGCCGATCTTGCCTATCATCCACACAGCCCAGCCTGCGGTCCCTGTCTTCTCCTACCCACTCTCACAATGCCTCACAATGGCCTGGGGACACAATCCAGACAACAACACATTTTGCAGACAAAAATATGAAATCCAGGAGGATGGGTGCTTGTTCAAGTCAGAATTCCCATGCAGGTTGTGTAGTACTTACTCTGTTATACCACACAGCTGCCCAGGAAGCACAGATTCTCAGTGAACAAAATTTTATGGCTATAAAGTCTCAAGACTGAACCAATTTCTCTGGAGAAAAAAGAAATTAGAGGGGTAAACATTGAAAAAGAAGAGGTATATGTTTAAGTGAGCCTTTTCTTTACATTTATGGTAAATTTTACATTCTCCATTCTCCATTCTGTTTAAAATGTTTTCTATAGCTTAGATGAACAGGGCTGGAAATGGATGTTCAGGGTAGTGGAGGTGATGAGTCGGGAAGCTGACAGATAATAAAAGAAGGAAAGGGAACGGCTGTCTTTGTTTTGCCAGGGACTCGTCTTCTCTAAATTCTTGGAAAACAGAAAACATTAGTGGGCCTTTACCTTCATGAACTTGGACCCCAGTTCAGGGCAGCATTGTCTCTGGAGAGCAGGGAGAGAAGGAAACAAATAGGGCTGGGCCCCACTGCATTTTCTGGCTTGTAGACTACAATTAAGCTGAGCCTGTTCTTGGAATGGTCAAGTCCAAAAGACTGAGCCTCCAGGCCATGGGACCATGCATCCAGGTGCATTTCAGTGCTCAGGAGAAAATGAGCTAGATAGGCAATGAAATCAGGCATATGAGAAGAAATCCTTGTTTTTGCAACCTTGGTCTGTACTGGGTGAAACTTATTTTAGAATGAATAGAGAATCTCTTCATCTGCTCAGGGAAATTGCTGGCTTGAATTTATAGTTGATTTCTTCCAGATGGGCTCATTGAACAAGTCATAATTCAGCTTTCTGTGCAAGGAGAAAATGGGAGGTCATCTCAAATTGTGAAGAAATATTGAGGAAATTAAATAATTTTCTGGATGAACATGCATAAGGCAAGGATGGAAGTAGAGGTAAATGAATGCTCTCCTATTCCTCCACAAAAGATATTATTTGATTTGTGTATAATTTATCACCTTGGATTTAGGAATGAAATTGATTATATTTCAAAAGCAGCTAAGTGGAAATTTATTTGAATTTGAATACATGGAGCCAGAGAAGGAAAGGACATAAGTTGAAACACTCAAGGAAATTGCATGAAGAAGCTAATGACTGGAAGGAGCATAGGGTTCTGGCCTTTTAGAAGTCTCACATTAGGGCTTGATCCCGTAGTTTGTAAGTAATGTTTTGAAAATGTCAGTGCTCTCTCAATGCTCTATCAACTGATATAGAGAATCACCAATGTGTAGCATTTCTTCTAATATTATTTCCATTAAGTTCTTTGAGAAAAGCTAGTTAAAGTAAAATAATTGCTCTCATGTAGCTTAAAAGGCCCACTGAAATTGGATGTCTTATGAAAACATGCTAATTATAACACTTCACATTAGGAGGAGTGGGGCAAGGGAGAGAAGGATCCTGCCAACTTTCTTCTGTCATGAAAAATGAAGAGGCCTGTGGCTAGGGTTCAAAATTGGAGTGTTGCTCTCCTCTTTGAATACATGAAAGATGCAGGTAGACTTAGGCAGGCAGGACCCACAGAGTCCTCCAAGGCTGGAGAGATTCAGCATGAACTGAATTTGGGCAAAGTTCTGTTTTAGTCAGCTTTTCACTGCTGGGAACAAAAGACCTGACAAGAACAATTTTAGAGGTGGAAAAGTTTATTTAGCGCTCATGATTCCAGAGATCTCAGTCCATAGAGGACTGACTCCATTTCTCTGTGTACAGGATGAGGCAGAACATCATGGTGAAGGGTGTGGTGGAGGAAAGCAAATCAAGAGGAAAGCAATCAGGAAGCAGAGAGTTCTCCACTCATCAGACAAATTATAAACCCCAAAGCCATGCCTCTAGTGACTACTTCCTCCAGCCACATCCTACCTACTTACAATTACTGCCCAATTAAGGGTTAATGTGTCGATAAGATTAAGAGTCTCATAGCCCAATCATTTCACCTCTGAACTTTCTTACATTGTCTCACACATGAGCTCTTGGGGGATACCTCATATCTAAACTATAATAGCTCCCTTGGAGTAGAACGCCAGGCAAACTGCAGGCAGATTCAGGGCTTTACAGACAGCACAGGGTAGTGAGGAAGCACAATGGTTAAGAGTGTGTGCTTTTGAGCCAGATCCTCCTGGCTGTGAGATTTTAGACACGTTACTTCACTTCTTCAACACCTCTTCTTCATCTTCAAAACGAATATAATAGTATATTGATCCCACAGGATTCCTATGGGGATTGGAGACATTATCTGTGAACTTTGCATGCCACTGCCTGGAACACTGTGAGTACCCAGTAAGTTTTAGCTTAGGATGATTTTATTTCTTAAACTATAGGTAGCCAGGCTTTATCAGACAACAAATAATGAGAGTGGTGAGCCTCAGGAAGTCCTTGCAGATATGGGAGGTTCAACAAATGGCCACCCTAAAAGAGGGACTCAGTCAATATCCAATCCCCATCATGCAGTCCTGGACCCCATTATCCAGCCAGCTCCAATATCCTCTTTCATTTCAAATGACCTGCTAGACACAGTAACTGGTCCCACATTGTGACACAATTGGGATTTTTTGTTCCAGAGTTCAAGTTAAACAGATTTGAGCCATGTTATACTTTGGTTCCACAGCAATTGATTATGCAAGTTTCATATCCTCTTGGCTTTAGTTTCTCCAGTGTCCAAGATCAAAGAGTAGAAAAAGAAAGAAACAGCAATGGCTTTGAGAGAATGGTCACCATCAACTCCAACACCCCTTCTACAATGAGACTGGAAGAGTGGGAGATCTGTTAACATCATTGATTAATTGGTAGGATGTTTTGCCAGTTCCTCATATTTTGAATACCATGGCAAGAAGCAAGCAACCCACAGAGCTGGAAAGAGAAAATACTATAAAATACTCTCACCTGTAAAACGGGTGAGTCATTAGAGAAGGAGCAAGACAAGGAAAAGGGAAAGGAAAAAACAGAATAACAGAATAAAAGGGAAAGAAAAAAGGAAGATTGAAGAGAAATAAAGCTTTCTAACATGGATGGAGCTTAAGAATTGAAAAACGTTAATAATAACAGTTATAGAAAAGTGGGACTGAGGTCAATGGAAAGCCCCAAAATATTGTAAATACAAAAGAGCCTTTGGCATTCTGATCCATCTCCCGTCTTTATAGTTAAAGAAAAGAAGGAAAAAAGGAAGAAAAAAAAAAAGAAAGAAAAGAAAGAGAGAATCTGTCTTGGATTTTCTATCTAGGGGATTGGACTATGATCTATAAGGCCCTTTCCAAAGATAATAATCTGTGAATTTCTAAATCATATATATTTACACAATACTCCTTATTGGTTAGGATAATTCAATATGGTGTGCATAACTTCCATGATAGCCATTTGGGGATGATGTGAATTTGTTTGATTTTCATGGTTTTCAAAAAGGATCCTAATGCCCTTCAATGTTCTAAGTAGCTTATTGTGTGATTAAAAAAAAAAAAAAAAAGACGAGCCCTTTGGGTATTCTGGGACTAATGCTGAGCTTTTGGTAAAGTACGAATCTAGGCTAGAACTAGGTCCTAGAACTTTGTGGCATTCCCCCCGTTTGCTGGTTGTTAAATTCTAGGATATCGGTTTCCTGGGTGTCCAGGTTTTCCATTAAGTACAGCATATCAGGAGAGACTCCAGAGCCGACCCCATAGTTGGTTCCACTGGCCTCCGAGGACGTTTCTGTGTCGATCAACAGAGCGGGCACGGGGCTCAGGGGATCTGGACCTAGGTTTGCCAGGGAGATGTGGTTAGACTCGTGGAACTCTGGGAGACTCCACCTTTTGGGGAACCTATCCTCAGTTGAGTCTTCCTCGAACAGAAAAAGATGTCTCTCGTTGCTATCTGGACCAGTCTGAGGAATAGGCCCCAGAGGAGGTGTCCCCTTTTCGGAGGGGGCCAGGAGTCCTGCTGGGTCCTCCTGCTGCCCAGTCCTGCTGGGTTGAACTCCAGTGAACTCTAAGCTCAAGATGGAGGTAGCAGAGTCATGGTGGTGGCCTTCGTAAGAGGGCTCTGGAGCTTCAGCATTGGTGACCAGTACCTCGGGGACCTGTGGCATTTTGGTGGGGGAGGTCCGCACACTGGACTGCGGGGTCAGGCTCTGCAGAGTGCTGGTCCGGCTGGTCTCCCTGATTGTGGACAGCTCTCCCATGCTGGAGTGCATCTTGGGACTGCTCTCGAGGGAGGGGGACTGTTTCCGAGTGGGCGAAGCTCTGTGGGGGTTTCTTGAGGGCACGTCTAGCAGGTCGCGAGCTGGGCTGAGCGGGAATAACATGGAGCTGTCGCTAGCCTGCCTCCCAAAGCTCCTCCTCTTGGGGCTGGCGGGGTGCTCGTGGGTACTCAGGAATCGCTTGACTCTCCTGATCATCGAATGCCGTTGGCCGTGCTTCTCATAGTCCCACAGCCACTCCTCGCCAGGGAAGTCAGACTCAGAGTGCCTGAAACAATGATAGAAGGCATTGGGGGCAGACTGTGACGTTAGGAGATGGGTTTGACATTTTGCATTACAGATTTTGGAGATAGGGAAGGGAGACTTTAACTTGAGATAGTCTAGCCAAGGTTCTCCAACTGTTTAGTCTGAGGCCCTTTCATTGTTTTATCTATCTATCTATCTATCTATCTATCTATCTATCTATCTATCTGTCTGTCTGTCTGTCTGTCTATCTATCTATCTATCTATCTATCTGTTGTTGGGTACTGGGGATTGGACTCAGGGACACTCAACCACTGAGCCACATCCCCAGCCCTATTTTGTATTTTATTTAGGGGCAGGGTCTCACTGAGTTGTCTAACACCTCACTTTTGCTAAGGCTACCTTTGAACTCAAGATCCTCTTGCCTTAGCCTCCCAAGCTGCTGGGATTACAGGCCTGTGCCACTGCATCAGGCTCTGAGGACTCTTTAAACTTTTAAATATTATTGAGTACCCCAAAGAGACCTGTTTATTTAGGTTATGTCTATTGCTCTTTACAATATCTGAAATTATAACTGAGGAATGTTAAAAACACAAGGATGTAGAACACATGTTCTATTTAGTGGCTAAGTAATGACATCATCACCTATCTTATAGTTTCTGGAAAAATTCCACTTTATAGTAGCCCCACTCCCCTATCTGTGGAGAAATATTCCAAGACCACCAGTGGATGCCTGAAACTGCAGATACTGGCCCATACACAAACATTGTAATGCTTTTTCCATCTTACCTAAGCACTTGCACACACAAGCCTATTTGGTACTAAGGTCTACTCCTGTCTTGGATTACATGGTTGTCTCACATCTCTGTGTGCATTTTTAGTCTTAGTGGGGCTCAAGGAACTGCTTAAATCCTTGCCCTTAAAAGACAAATACTCATGCCGTCTCTGGGATCAACAGTAATCATGCTGTCCCAGTCCAGTGTTGGTATAGACAAGATGCTTTATGCCAGCTACATTTTATGTGATGTAACAGAAAAATATGCCATGGTATAATGTAGGTATAAACTGAAAGGGCAAAAGGAGCAACCAAAGAAAATGTGTTCCCTGTGTTTATGAATAAAAGATGGATGATTGAGATGATTAGCAGGGTAAGTGTCCTGGGATGGTGTTCGATTACAGCCTCGTGCTGTTACTCTAAAGCCCTAGCAGCGCTCTTGGCTACCAGATAGCCTCCTGACCCACCCTCTGCTGTGCAGATGCAGATTCTGTTACAGCGACTTGGGAAACGCAGACTCATACTTCAGTGGCCCCGGTGACCCTATTCGTTGGATTTCATTAGGTCACATCTCCAGTCACACTTCACAGGGATCCATTTAGCTTTGGAGGACATCAGAGGAGGGACAGCACAGTTGGTTATGAACATTGCCACATTGGATGTGCTTTGGGATTTGAGGTCAAACTGGCAATCTCTCTTTATAGGACACACATCTGTCCTCCATTTGGGATCCTGACTACTTATTTGGGATTTATTTTCCTTAACTACTTCTTGTTTTTAAATTTAGGACAGTCATATTTATTTTTTTAAATTTTTTTTTCAAATATTTATTTTTTGGTTAGACACAATACCTTTGTTTATTTATTTAATGTGGTGTTGAGGATTGAACCCAGGGTCTCACGCATGCTAGGCGTACAGCTGAGCCAAAACCCAAGCCCAAGCATAATGTTTATACATGGTGATGAGTTGGAGATTAACTAATTGGAATATAAGACAGATAAATATACTAATTACACCAGTCCATCTGAGCCAAAATCCCAGCAAAGTGGTCTCTCAAGCACAGCAGACAGTGTTCTATGTTAAATTGGTGGGGAAACAGAGCAGTACTACTTTTATTCTTGACTGTGATCCTTAAACATTTTCTATGCCCTATGATACATATTGGCACCAGTCTCTCTAGTCACACTTGCCAAGAATCCAGAGTCCGTTGAAGATCTAAAATGTGTGGCAAGCAGAGCAGTGAAAACAATGTTTATACTGGGCCTAGACTAGAAGATTCCAATGTCTGCAGGTGATGGGAGTTCTGTTGCTTTTGAGATAATATTCATGAGTTCCTCCAATCTATGTATACTTTGGACTATCTCCCTTGCCAGGGTGTAGGCACATGATCCAGACTGGGTTTAGATCAAGTGCACCCATCATAGATCCAGTTACTCAGGAGGCTGAGGCAGGAGGATCACTTGAGCTCAGGATTTTGAGGTCAGCCTCAACACATATGGCAATTCACAGCTAACATCATACCAAGGTGAAGGGGAATATTTTTTCCTATAAGATCAGGAACAAGACAAGGTTGCTCACTCTTACTGGAGCAGTGGTCCACTTTGTGCTTTGAACATAGCCCTTCCATATTTATTTTTTAATTATAGTGGACACAATATTTTACTTTATGTCGTGCTGAGGATTGAACCCAGTGCTTCATGCATGCTATGCAAGTGATCTACCTCTGAGCCACAACCCCAGTCCTTCCTTAACTGCTTCGACACAATCTTCTAGGAAAAATAATTTATATTATTACTACTTCAAAACTTTGTGACTCAAAAGGAAAAAACTTTCAAATTGGTATAGTGGATATGTACATTCAACTACAGTGAGAGAAATACTTTCCTAATTCATAGACTGAAGAAAAATGAAGTGCAATGGACAAACGGCAAAGAGGCTAGTGTTCTCGCTAATGATCTACTGATTGACATGGGGTAGACCTTCTAGGGAAACCCTCTTGCACCTTCCTGCCTCAGGAGAGTGTGCTGTGGATGCATGATATTTATCTGCTTATTTCACACACCCTCTAATTTATTGATCATCTACCATCAACAATTTGTTGCACTAGATACCTAGTGTGCTAGATACTAAATAATTATAATTTAAAAGGAGGCAGAAGGCATGCATATGAATTACATTTGGGGCAAAGTTTTTGAGCTGGACTTTGCCACTAAATCAGAATAGGATAAATGGAGAAGGAAGGACAGGGGACCAGGTGGAAGTGATGATGAGCAAATAAGGCAGGAATTAGGGTGTTAGTAAGGAAGAAGAAGAAAAAAGAAGTTTTTGAGACACAGAGGACAGTATCAAGCATAGGCTGGAAAGACTGTCCTGGAGTGTGTTATGAAGAGCCATATATCAGGCCGACGGATTTGGACTTTCTTCCTGAGGCAGTGGGTGGCCACGGATTGTCTTGGAGAATGGAGGGCACAGAGTTGCATGGTATTAGTGTCCAAACTGGAAAAGCTTCATGAAAAGCATGTAGTCTGATTAATGCTTAGGATAAGAAATATGACTTGAAAACTTTCTATACTTTTAGTCTGGGTCTTTGGAAGAACTTGGTGTCCAATGTATCTCAAGAAGTGATAAGTGGTGTCCTTCAGGTATTTATGCCATGTGAGAGCAATAGTCAAACTCTCCAGCATGATGACCAAAGGACCTTTCTTTTTAATACTTCCGTGTAAGATCTCTAACACATCATGCCCACCTCCTAATTTTTCTAAAAGTTATGATTTTCACTATAACTGTGATTGATAACAAAATGGTTTAAAGCTTAGAGCACATAATAGAATACTTTAAAAGAATCTTTATTTTATTAGGCATGGTGGCACATGCCTGTAATCCCAGCTATTTGGGAGCCTGAAGTTGGAGGATAACAAGTATGAGAAAACTCAGTGAGACCCTGTCTCAAAAATAAAAAGGGTTTGGGATGTAGCTCAGGGTTTGGGATGTAGCTCAGGGTTTGGGATGTAGCTCAGTGGCAAAGTGCCCCTGGGTTAAATCTTCAGTACTTGGCTGGGGGTCAGGGGCAGTCTTCATTTCCCATTTGAGGGGCTTGGGTGTGTCTTTTAGGTTTTTTTTTTTATACTTTCTGCTCATTCTTATTTGATTTAAAAATGTACCCTTAGTTTATATAAAGGTTAGTTCAATTCTGAGATCCAAATATAATTCCATTTAAACAACCATAGCAGAAACATTATATGATGGAATGTAAGCACCCTTATTATATTACTATATACTATAGATGGTCAGCTAAAAAGGCAAGGTTTTATGTTTTGGAACTCATTTGGATTGAGATAGGTAGGTAATTAGAGATAGAAGGACATAAATGGAAAATGCCTCACAGCCATTGCGTTTTAGAGATGGAATAGGAAAATTGTCTTTGGTGAGACAGAAAGATTCATTTTGAGAGCTTAGGGAGCCAGGATCGCTGCTACCCTGGCTAACACTTACTAACTGTGTAACCTTTGGAGACTCATGTAACCTCTCTGTGACTTAGTATTATAGTTTGTAAACTGGTGATCATCGTACTTTATTTGCCTTTCAGATTGTTTGGGAGTTTAAAGAGGGTAACCTCTGCCAAAAAGCTTTGGACAGTAGAAGATATAAAGAGGACTCTTGTCAATGACTGGCAAACTTTCAGAAGTGGTTTTTAAATCATTATTGACTTCTTGCAGGGTTGAAGGAAATGACAGTGTCTGCCTGAAGGTCACTCCATCTTCTCCCGTTAGAGTGTCCTTTAGCCAGGTGTGGTGGTGCGTGTCTGTAACCCCATGACTCAGGAGGCTTAGGCCGGAGAATCACAAGTTTGAGACCAGCCTGAGCAACTTAATGAGGCTCTGTCTCAAAGTAAAAAATAAGAAAGGGCTGGAGATGTAGCTCAGTGATAGAGCACCCCTGTGTTCAATCCTCAGTGCCAAAAAAAAAAAAAAAATCACTGTACATTTAAAATCTTACAAGGGATGACTTAACAGCAATTTCATAGTAAGTTGGGGGCCCTGGGTAAATGGAGAGGAATATAAGGACTGACAGAAGCTGAGATATTTGAGGAAAGGAAGATAGGGTTGACTAAATAGTGGACCTTCACCACTTGCCAGACATTGCCAACTCTGTTGTGTACATTTATTGTACACTGTAAATCATCACTTCAGACATACAGGACACATGAGAATAAGAAAGGCTGTGTAATATATTGGGCTGTTTTTGAAAAG